TCTCTCTCTCTCTCGATCTCTCTCTCTCTCTCTCTCTCTCTCTCTCTCTCTCTCTCTCGCTCGCTCGCTCGCTCTCCCATTCCCTGCCTCCCATGATTCTTCCCTCCATCCTCCCTTCATTCGCCTGTCTCCCCACGTGATTCCTGACATTCCTTCCTACGTTCCACCTTGGAGTAATCATTCTGATCAGAATGATTTCTCCAAGGTTCCACGGACTCACTCATGGCTCACAAAAGCGCATAATTTAAACGTCAACGATACTACTGTTGTACACGGGAAGTCTACGCGCTGTATTGAATAGGTAACTGGAGCAACACGTATCCGACGAGATCACGGCAGGTCATGACGAGCCGTCATGCGTGATGGCGGACAGCCTATGAATGAATGACAAGTTACGGCAAGTGGAGATCGAGTGTATTGCACGTCCTTCCCTTCGTGTCAGTCGAGAGCGATCTGTCTATTTTTATCAATCTGTTTACTCAGAGGGTAGGTCTACTACGCTGGACTACGGCGAATGATGGGTAAGCATAGTTCTTAACTTCTTAATCTTATCAAGAAAACAAACTGTACGTAGCAACGCCAACAACAGTGATTCACTGATTGTTTGTGCTCTAATTCTAAATTCTATTGTACATCTCCCCGTATAGACGTAGTATCTGAGCACGATCATCAGACATTCTCCGTTTATGCATGCCTCGTAAACTTATGTAGCTTCCGCCACTGTACGTACTAGCATGGTGTCAGGAGTGAATAAAAAACATTTCTGATGCCATACATTGGCTAACGCTCCATTAGAATTGTGTTCCCAACTTTGATATCATTAATGATTAATGATTAATGATTAATGATTAATGATTAATGATTGATAATCCTAACCCTAACCCTAACCCTAACCTAAATGACACAAACTAATATAATGACCATGACCATATATATATGTGTTATTATGACCATTAATGACATTAAAGTTGGGAACACTCCTAATGGAGTATCACCCCATACATTGATGATGGTATAAATGTCCCCTGCTATGGCAAACGTCTATGGTTGGCCACAGTGGACAAAAATCAAGAATACATGACTACATATTATATGCCCGCATATAATCGACCAATGGGAAGAGAG